GGGGGGGGGGGTCTCCTCAGAATGAGACATTGCAACTTACAGTTGCCCCCTTTGTTTGGACTTCAGAGAGACCGGCACAGGCTAAAAAAGGCTTCCTGAGCTTTCATTTCTCTTGCTCTGTTGAAAAATGGAAGGCGTAAAATATTCACCTCCCCACTGCCAAGGCAGGAGTGCAGGTGAGCCAGAAGCTCTGCACAAACACACACCTGAGTAATTATCAAACAATGCCCCTCTGATTGAGAAGCTGGAGGGATTGATTTATGAAGGAAGATCAAAAAGACTTAACCGCTGTACGTTGTGTAAATGCCAGCTAAGAGGTGGCTGGTAACCTTCTACAAACAGGGGAAGGGCAATCACTCCAAAGACAGGGAGCAATGATTGAGTGTAGCACAAGGGCTAGGAAAAAATGGGACTGGGATGAGAGGAGAAAGGAAACAAAGGTTCAACAAAAGGGCTAGGTACAGACATTCAAAAAAATCAATCTAAGTTATGCTGTTTTCTGTAAGCGGTGTAGTTTAGATTGGTAGAGAACAGAACAAACATTCACCCTTTGGTGGCAGAGGGGGCAAATCTTAAACCAGATGAGTTTGTTCTGTTATGGGTATAGACCAGTTTCCAATCACTTATACAAGTAAAGTATCATGTCTGTACCTGGCGAAGAGAAACTTTCTAGCAGCCAGAGCTCAGAGGTCCAAGAACAGTCTCCTGGGGGAAGCAGGCCCATTGCTCAGGATTTCTCAAACGTGCCTACCTCCAGCATAGTGAATATTCCTGCCCTGGCCTCTATGGAAGAATTAGCCATGGACAGAAAGGGACCTTCCATCTCCTACAAATACAAAGAAGGCCTCCACTCTTGTTACTCCAACCTCTTCAGCCTGTGGCCTGGTTTCTAAAAACATGAAAAGGCACTGCATGCTGGAGCTGCCTTCTCTTAAGCCAGACCACTGTATGTTGAATTTGCCCATCCACATCCCACCACATGGGATGGTTTAAAAAGGACCTAAAAACTACAACACACATGACCCAGCTGATCTGGCCCACCACACCTGTGCCCAGCTTACCCACTGGCTACTCAACTTGCCTGTTTGAGATTGTAGTTGCCGTGCTTGTCGCAGTTGGGGATATGCAGGGAGTAAAGATGTTCCAGCGGGCCTCGTTCGTCTGGAAGACGCATGGTGGATATGCGCTCCAAGACCTGATCCAATTCCTGCTGGCAGGGGGTCTGGAGAAGGCCAAGAAAGCAGAAAAAGAAATCAGAGAAACAGCAGCCCAAGCAAAGGACGGAATGAATCCTCGCCCCTTCCTGTGACACCAAGGTCAAGACCAAGGGCATGGCAGGAAGAGGTACTGTCTCACCCCTCCCCACCCCACACTGTAGAAAATGACCTGGCTGATACAGAAACTGAATCAGGCCCTGGAAACAAGGACCTTCAGTCCCCTGATGTCTCCCCTCCCTTTCCCCCCTTCTACCCCTGCAAAATCTCTGACAGCATCCAGGGGAAAGGCTGAAGTCACTGACTCTGGTGTGAAACCATGTGGAGCCCCTGGCAGCAAGCCCGCCCCAGGTGATGCTGTGTGGAATATCACAGCACCGGCAGACTCTGGTGACCGCGTCCAAAAACTTTCAGCAGCTCCAGCTCTGCTTGGAGCAGAGCCAGCCAGAGCAGGCCAGAGCCAGTAGGACTGACATTGTTCATAATTCCAGTCATGCAGACGGGAAGGAGAGCCCGGGTGCCAGGGCTGCTGTGGGACGATCCCAGGGTAAATGAGAAAGGCTTTCATAGAATCGTAGAGACGTGGGGCTGGAAGGGAGCTCCAGAGGTCACATCTAGTCCAACCCCTGTCTGTAGCAGGATCAGGCCTGTCCAAACCAGCCCAGACAAATCTATCATCTAAACTCTTTGTAAAACTACCATCAACCCTGACATAACACAACACCCAAACCTGCCACAGGTAAAGCAAACGAACCATGATGCCCAAGGTCCTGCTTCTATAAAATGGTGCTAATAAACACTGAAGAGAATCCAGGTAGAGGGCCATGCTGCCTGCTACAGAGGAAGGTGAAATCACCCTGTCTGATGATGAGGTAAAACTTCTTCCTGACCCCAAATGCAGCATCTATCTGATCCTGAGCAAGGGGCCAAGACCCTCTAGCCATGACCCTCCAGCTTTAAGACCCAGCAGGAGCACTGGCACAGCTCAATCACTATCTCCAGCCTGGGCTGCAGCCAACACTCGGTGCCTCTGAGAAAGGCTTTCTTTCCCCCTTCCCTTCTGCTCGCTCAACTTTGACAAGAGCGGACTGGGAGCTAGGGTCAGAGAGGGGTGCATCTTCTTTCCTGCATCCAGTTTGGGGCAGGGAGCTGACTGGGTCTGGGGATGGGAAGATCTATCACTCCCATGCTCCAGGACTGGGGTGCAGATGGGGACTGCTGGGGACAGGTCTGCCTCTCAGCGGCTCTGCTGGCCCTGTCATCATCTGCCCCCAGGCACTGTCTACAGCCCCCTTCATAGGGGCATGGAGGCCGTCTCAGGGGATATGGCATCCAAGGGGAGGAGGGTGCATGTCACCAACTCTGCTAGGCACAGTGCTGTCTTTATCACTCTATGAGGGAACAGGATTTGCCCATCAGAAGCGGACCTGGCTGGCCTCAAAGGGAGTGTCTACACAGACATTAATGCACTTTAGTTAATACACGTTAAATCCAGTACCTCCATTGTGAGGTACTAGGAAAATGTTCATTAGCCTGGCTTAATGCATGTTAACTAAAGTGTACAGTTTTAAGTGACGCTTAATGTGCATTAACCTATTCTAATGTGCATTAAGTAAAAAGCACAGTTTTATGTGACACTTCAGTGCACATTAAAATAAGCTAATGTGCATTAAAGTGCATGTGTAGACATGCCCAGAGAGACTGGCATAGTGCTGACACCATAATCAAGGGCTCCGTGCCAGCCTCTGCTGCAGCTGAACAGATTGGCTTAATCCCAGGTCAAGGACAAGGGAAGGATGCCAAACACCCCCAGCATAGCTGGGTACTAGGGGAGCCACCAGGCTCGGAAGGGGCACACAAAGGAGGGGGAGGAGAAATGGTTGCAGTGTTTTGCATTTGGAGCTTTTCTGGGACACCCTGAAGGCTCCACTGGCCCTTGGACTAATCTGGACACCCTGGAATGGAAAGGTGGTATCCAATCTGCAGGGAAGCCCAAATGCCATAGCCCTAAGCCCCTGCATCTGTTAGAGCTATGGTGTGTGGTCAATGCTGCTAGCAAACATTTAAGTCCGCAGGGATCAACTGCTTTGACCTCCAGCCAGGCTGGGGGGCTAGAATGTGCCCCACACACTAGCCTCTGAAGTCCAGGCCCCAAAACAAGGGGATTGCTCACACTGCCTGCACCTTCCAGAGGGACCTCTCTGGGCTCCTCACTGCAGCAAGTTTTTCACTCATCTGGCCTGGAATTGACCCAGCATCCCTGGAAGTAAAAGTACAGGGGTCTTAAAGGGTGAGTATGGGACTGAGGGAAACCTTGTCCCTGCCCCTGTGTGTGCACTGACTTCCCTTTCAGGAAGTGACTAAAAATTTATGATTTTTTTAAAATCAAAAAATCAGATTTTTTTTATTTAAATCAGATTTTTTGATTCAACCATTTTTTTTTGTTAAGATGCTTTTTCAAAAAATAAACCTATATAAAGATAGTTTTAATTTATGTTATAACCCAAAGATATCATCATGGAATAGGGTTTATAACTTCTAATTATATATGTGACGGGCTGGCAGTGACCTGGCCCAGGGGTTTTGAAAGGGCAAAAGATGATTGGAGGACTTAGGATTCCCTTTCCTCACCAATCTGGTAATGATTTGGGCCAGGGGTTTTGAAGGGGTAAAAGATGATTGGAGGACTTGGGATTCCCTTTCCACACCAATCAGGCCCCAGAGACTCACCACCCCCCCCACCCCTGTGTCCCCTGATTGGCCCCTTGGGTCACCTGGAGGGGGATAAAAGGGGCAGCATGGGCTGACTCAGGAGAGACCAGCGAGGGACCACAAGGAAGGAGCTTCGCAGAGCTGGCAAGAGCTGAGCCAGCAGGGCAGGAGCAGTGCCGCGGAAGAGCCTGAAAGAGCAGGACCTGTAGGCAGCAGTGGGACCCTCAGAAGTGCGGCATGCAGCCAGCAGGAGACGCTCCCCCCACTCCAGCCAGGATCTGAGCAGCGACCTGAGAGGGTCCCATCTCTGCTTCCAGCTCCTCCAATCAGAGGCCAGGCAGCTCAACATGAGGCCGGGGTTCCAGGAAGATTAAGACCCGTAGCAGGCTGGAGAAATGCCACCAGTGGTGGCTGTGTGGCAGCGTTCCTGCCTCCTACGTTGGAGATCTGAGTTTAAGTCCCAGCTGAATTGACTTGGGGTGAGTGAGCTAACAAGAAACAAATCCTCCTGCAGTGGAAAGGGGCCATTGTGTTTTCCCTCCAGCTACCAAGGCCCCAGCTACTATATTTCCTTGTCACTTGACATCTTGCATTTTGTGCCTTTTTTATATTTCACCAACTAGTATTGTTTGCTCTGCTGTTTGTGTTTTATATTTTCTTAACCGTCTTTTGTCAATGATCGTAAGTGTCTAACCTTTGTTGAATCCTTCCCCCTTGGGGCATTGTAGTGTCCCCTGTACCCTCTGATTTATGCCTGTTATGTTCCCAGTATTAAAAGGTATATGGTTAAGTCCCCATTGGTGGTCTGGCCCTGCTCTATAGGGGAAGGAGAGTCCCTACACCTCCCACAGTGCTTGTGCACCTGCTTTGAGCCCTTCAATTGGAGAGGGGGTACCTCTTGGAGTACCACCCAGGTTACATATACTATTTGAGACAATATATTCATGTAACTTATTTAGAAAAGTTTTATAACTAGGTCACAACAGGCCATGGACTATATTAGGGCCCCAATGGTATAGGGTTCCCTGAGGCTCCTCTATAGATTGGTAAAGATTAAAGAAAACCACTCTACACAACGGCACTCAATGCTCAGTCTAGAAGAGCCCATTGAGCATCTCTGTGATGCTGAGTTTCAGTTCTCAAACTGTGGATTTGTGTCTCCAGAGATAACATCTTTGTTAACAGCTGTATATGGAAATGAGAGATAGCAGACCTGATTACCTACCCATAAGCCCTATTGTCTCTCTGCAAGTTTGTCTACACAGAGTCAACTCCTTACCTCTCTCTAAAAATGCAAAGTTTCAAGAAATTAAATGAACAGAGGCTTGTCAGGAGTGGAGTAGATCTGGGCAAGGAGGAGGAGTCTAGAGAAAAATGGAAGGAGGAAGGGGCAGTAGAAACAAAAGAAAAGCATTTTGAGCAGACTATTCCAGAAGTCTTGAGGAATAAGTTTCTGAATATAGCCCCTCCATTGATTTAACTTATGATGGCAGCAGGCTTGCCAGGCCATAAAAGAGACCAAGTTTGAGAATATTTTAATAAACGTTATATCAAACAACAAGAATGCGCTTTTTGTAGAAAACAATGCTTAAATCAAGGCTTCCTGCCCAGTGATTTGAATCATGATTTAAATCAAATCCGCCCTGTCTCTTTGCTCCTGCTCCCCCTCAAATCCCCCGAGTTTCCACACTTACCCTTAAGGGTGAGGGCCGTAGTTTCTTCGACTCTTCGTGATTGTGATGGGCTTTGTTGACCTTGCCCATCTGCCTCTGCTGTTCGTTCACTTTCTCTCGTATTACAGCGAGCTCCTTCCCAGTCTTCACAGGCTTTCTCCCCCCACCTCCACTCATCACTCCCGTGGTTCCATCCACATGGTTCTCTACAATGACTCCGTCCGAGTTGTCTTCACCATTATCTGTGTATAACAAGAGAGAGGGAAGAAAAGGGTAAATCTCAGCTGGTAATACCATCCCTTGTGCCTTCCCTTCCTGGATGGCCAGTCACCATGCTGCAAAGCCTTAAATCCAAAACCAAAAATCACATTAGCCCTTTAATCTGGAAGGTAAGAATGGATAAGAACATAAGAACTGACATTTACTGGATCAGACCCTAGGTCCATCTTGCCCAGCCTCCTGTGTCTCACAGGGGCAGAGAGCGGATGCTGAAAGGGTGTGACCAGGGTTTTTTCCACTGTTCCTCTCTCACTTGCAACCTCCAACGTTTAAGGTCTATGGATGACTGAAGCCACGCCCCTATTTCTCATGCTCAATAGCTACTAATACACCTCTCTTCCAAGAATCTGTCCAATCTCTTTTTGCATCTGGCTAAACTGTCAGCTTCCACCACGTCTGGTGGCAATGAGTTCCACGCTTTAATTACACACGGTGTGAAAAAGAACTTGCTTTGGTTAGTTTTAAACTTACTACTTAGTAGGTAGTCAGCAATGACCATCCTAAAAGAAAGTTTAGAGCCCAGGGAGAAATCGCTTCTGAAGATGCTTTTTATGCTTTTATGGGACCTTTTAGACTGCTTCCGAGGAACAAAATTTACCCAGCAGAAGTGCAGTTGGGTTTACAATGCCAGCTACATTTTGGCACCAAAACCTGAAATAATGTTAATTAGTAATGATTCTTTGGGTCTTCAGAAGACTTCTACACATACCCAACACTGCACACAGAAAAGTGAATCTGTAAAAGATCAAATCAGACAAGAAGTCGGCAAATACGAACCCTCACTCAAAAGTGTAAGAAGAAAATCCAGTGGATTGGACACGTACAAAGGCCTGGCACCCTTACCAACACCATCCTGCAGGATGCTGTGGATGGATGAAGAAGACGACAAAGGCCTAGGATGAGCTGGACCACCAATATCAAAGACTGGATGGGATTAAAACTGATTGATCGCACAAGGATTGCAAAAAACCGGGAAGAATGACTGAAAGCTTTTGCTACGTTACAGGTTCCCCAACAGTTAGTATGGCCTCAAGACAGACTTATAGTTTCATAGTTTCTAGGGTCAGAAGGGACCTGAGCAGATCATCTAGTCCGACCCCCTGCCATGGCAGGAAGAGCACTGGGGTCAAATGACTCCAGTAAGGTGGTCATCCAACCTCCTCTTAAAAACCCCCAGGGTGGGAGCCTGCACCACCTCACTTGGAAGCTGGTTCCAGACTCTAGCCGCCCTGACCGTGAAGTAGCGCCTCCTGATGTCCAACTTAAACCTTCCCTCCGCCAGCTTGTGACCATTGTTCCTG